GGGAATTCTTCAGTAGGGCTTTTACATCAACATGCTAGCATATAGTGTATAATACTGTACAGACAATGTACCACGTGTGCAGTTGGCATGCCCTTCCTCCATGCATCTGAAACAGGCAACCTAAATATATTAGACATGAGTAAATCTTTATATGCACACAAAATCTTAGAAAACTGCCCTTCTGCCAGGGAAGGGAGCTTTCAGGTGCCTGCACCCACCACCAAACCACTCTATAATGGGTTCATGTCAGTTACAGCAGTGACCATTCAGTCCTTCAGCACAATAGCTCCATGCTGCTGTCAGGGCAAAATTGTTCATCACTACCATGCAGCAGGTACAGCTTAAGTTCCCTTGCAGCCTACTAAAGGTAGTGACAGTGAACCAGAGAGCCAGCACAAGTAAGGATTCTGCATTATCACTACTGACAGGTTGCTACATCTTCAAATCATACAGGATTCAGCATAAAAAATGTAGATGATGCATTAAATGCATAAATAATAGCCACATAGGACCCTGATCAGGACTGGGGCTATGGTTCATTCCCATCACCCAACTTCCAATCCAAATCTTTATTACCACCACCCAACTTCATTCCTGACAACAGCTGCCCACACATCCAAAACTGCTTCTTGCTGCACAAAAAAAACTTGCTGTTGATGCAATCACACCTTGTCTAATTTTCTTATATCTGGGCACAGCACAAAAGCTTTTCAGCCATCTTCTAAATAAAGACATTCTGTAAGGATCATCACCACACTGCAATTTAAATGCAGCGACTCTTAACAATAACCTCTACATGACCAATCATCTAGAACTGTCATATTTGAATCAGTTTTCCATGGTCATTATTTTGGTAATTCTCAGTGATCAAGAGTGATTTGATGAAGGTTCTTGGTTTGGAAAACTGGTCAACATCATATTTCCTATGAATGGTTAAAGATCCACTATGTGAATTCTTTTCAACTTCCTAAAACAGGAAATCTTTGTGCAGCAGATACTGATTACCTCGTCTTTCTTTAAAAACACCCTGGAAAAGTAATAGTTCAATGAAGATATACAGCTAACTCAGTAGGTCAGCTGTATTACTATGTTTGGAAAATAGGTAGTAAATCTACAAGGATGCAGCATATTTCTTCATCTTATGGATCAGGCAAGAACTGCTTCCTTGTTGTTGTTGTTTAGTCGTTTAGTTGTGTCCGACTCTTCGTGACCCCCATGGACCAGAGCACACCAGGCACTCCTGTCTTCCACTGCCTCCCGCAGTTTGGTCAAACTCATGCTGGTAGCTTCGAGAAACACCATCGCAACCATCTCATCCTCTGTCGTCCCCTTCTCCTTGTGCCCTCAATCTTTCGCAACATCAGGGTCTTTTCCAGGGAGTCTTCTCTTCTCATGAGGTGGCCAAAGTATTGGAGTCTCAACTTCAGGATCTGTCCTTCCAGTGAGCACTCAGGGCTGACTTCCTTAAGAATGGATGCATTTGATCTTCTTGCAGTCCATGGGACTCTCAAGAGTCTCCTCCAGCACCATAATTCAAAAGCATCAATTCTTCGGCGATCAGCCTTCTTTATGGTCCAGCTCTCACTTCCATACATCACTGCTGGGGAAACCCATAGCTTTAACTATACGTGACCTTTGTTGGCAAGGTGATGTCTCTGCTTTTTAAGATGCTGTCTAGTTTGTCATTGCTTTTCTCCCAAGAAGCAGGGGCCTTTTAATTTTGTGGCTGCTGTCACCATCTGCAGTGATCATGGAGCCCAAGAAAGTAAAATCTCTCACTGCCTCCCATTTCTTCCCCTTCTATTTGCCAGGAGGTGATGGGACCAGGAACTGCTCCTTACATATTACCACTGCCAAAGCACTCATCATTATAAGAAGACAAAGACATCTACACAGGCTTCCCCCACCCCAGATATTTGGACCATGGTTTGCAGAGGCCAAGTCATTCATTCTACCTATATAAAAAAGGTAAAGGTACCCCTGCCCGTACGGGCCAGTCATGTCCGACTCTAGGGTTGTGCGCCCATCTCACTTAAGAGGCCGGGGGCCAGCACTGTCCAGAGACACTTCCGGGTCACGTGGCCAGCGGGACGAAGCTGCTCTGGCGAGCCAGCACCAGCGCAGCAGCACCGCAAACGCCGTTTACCATACACCTCATTAATTTCTCCATTATCCTGAATCAACATTTTGCTGCAATGGAAGCCAATGATTTCTATCAGAAACAGTAAAAGAGCCATCACTACTGGATATAAGTTATGAGCCAATCTATTAGTTATGCTTTTTGGTTATGTAAAAGACCTAGTCACATTAGAAAGCAGGAAAATAGTTGTTACACCTACTAACAGCTGCCCATTTCAACAATTAGTTACAATTCAGGTTGTTGGGGGGGGGGTCGTTAATGGCACCAGTATTGGAGGATTGGATACCAAGGTATGGGAGGCGATCCAAATGAAGGAAGCAATTTAACAATTTTATTTATTATTTATTTATTTCATAAAATTTACACACCACTTGATTGTAAAACAACAACAACAACCCTCAAAGCGGTTAATAATAATTTCATTGAAAAAATAGACCCTTTTACTGTGTATCAGTACAATAAGAAGTAATATAAGGTCAAACACAGACTGGAAAGTGATACGTGCGGTATTTGTGCCTGGATGGAAAAGATGAGTGCTTTTGCTACTACAGTGGTGCCTCGCAAGACGAAATTAATTCGTTCCGCAAGTTTTTCTTCTTGCGAGTTTTCGTCTTGCGAAGCACTGGTTTCCCATAGGAATGCATTGAAAATCAATTAATGCGTTCCTAGGGAACCGCCTTCAGACCAGGTCCGGGGAACAGTCTGTCCCCCGACCTCTTCTGAAGGCTGGGGGGGGGGGAACAAGGGCTTCTGAAGGCTGGGGGGGGCTGGGGGGGAACAGGGCTTCGCTGCCGACCCCCAGCATTTTAAAATCTCACCGGGACACGGGGAGATTTTAAAATGCTGGGGGTAAGCAGCGAACGCTTCGCTGATCCGGGACGGCAGGCAGATCTGCACCGCCATCCAGAGCGGGGGCGGGACTTAGCCCCGCTCGGGATGGCAGTCCCGGGACGGCAGACAGCTCTGCGCCGGCATCCAGAGCGGGGCGGGACTTAGCGCCCGCTCGGATGGCGGCACAGATCTGCCTGCAGTCCCGGGACGGCAGAACAGCTCTGCGCTGGCATCCAGAGCGGGGGCGGGACTTAGCGCCCCGCTCGGGATGGCGGCACAGATCTGCCTGCAGTCCCGGGACTGCAGGCAGCTGTTGCGCGGCCATCTGTAGCGGGGCGGGCTTCGCCCCCGGCTCCCGATGGCCGCGCAGAGCTGCGCTGATCCCGGGATGGCAGACAGCTCTGCGCCGCCATCCCGAGCGGGGCGGGACTTAGCGCCCCGCTCGGGATGGTGGCGCAGATCTGCCTGCAGTCCCGGGACTGCAGGCAGCTTTGCGCAGCCATCTGTAGCAGGGCGGGCTTCGCCCCCGGCTCCCGATGGCCGCGCAGAGCTGCGCTGATCCCGGGATGGCAGACAGCTCTGCGCCGCCATCCCCGAGCGGGGCGGGACTTAGCGCCCCGCTCGGGATGGTGGCGCAGATCTGCCTGCAGTCCCGGGACTGCAGGCAGCTTTGCGCGGCCATCTGGAGCGGGGCGGGCTTCGCCCCGGCTCCCGATGGCCGCGCAGAGCTGCGCTGATCCCGGGACGGCAGACAGCTCTGCGCCGCCATCCCGAGCGGGGCGGGACTTAGCGCCCCGCTCGGGATGGTGGCGCAGATCTGCCTGCAGTCCCGGGACGGCAGACAGCTCTGCGCTGGCATCCAGAGCGGGGCGGGACTTAGCGCCCCGCTCGGGATGGTGGCGCAGATCTGCCTGCAGTCCCGGGACTGCAGGCAGCTTTGCGCGGCCATCTGTGGCGGGGCGGGCTTCGCCCCGGCTCCCGATGGCCGCGCAGAGCTGCGCTGATCCCGGCACGGCAGACAGCTCTGTGCCGCCATCCCGAGCGGGGCGGGACTTCTCTGCTGTCCCGGGGAGATTTTAAAATGCTGGGGTCGGCAGCGAACGCTTCGCTCCCGCCCGCCAGCATTTTAAGATCGCCCGGGGCAGCGGAGAAGTCTCCGCTGTCCTGGGAAGGCAGGCGGGGGGAGCAAAGACTTTTGCCCCCCCGCCAGCCTTCAGAAGAGGTCCAGGACGTCTTCTGAAGGCCGACTGTGGGCGAAAGTCTTTGCTCCCCGACCGCCAGCAATTTAAAACAGGTCCCCGGAGATTTCCCTATGGGCTTTCGTCTTGCGAAGCAAGCCCATAGGGAAATTCGTCTTGCGAAGCGCCTCCAAAACAGAAAACCCTTTCGTCTTGCGGGTTTTCCGTCTTGCGAGGCATTCGTCTTGCGGGGTACCACTGTATAAACTATCTATGTGGGGAAAAAATCCTGCTGCTGTGCATTCACTTAGAACACTATTTTTCAGTGCAGCATCCTATCTGGGAAATGCCTATATAAGGATCTCATAGAGTTGTTGCAAACAGGGATAAAAGTAAGGACTGTAGAGATCATCATATACAAAAAGCACTATACACTTTTCTTTTTAATGAAGCACAGGTGGAAACAGGAAGGGAAACTGTCTTTCTGAATATTATTCTCATATATCTCAATAGTACAGTGGTACCTTGGGTTAAGAACTTAATTTGTTCTGGAGGTCCGTTCTTAACCTGAAACTGTTCTTAACCTGAGGTACCACTTTAGCTAATGGGGCCCTCCCGCTGCCGCAACACGATTTTCTGTTCTCATCCTGAAGCAAAGTTCTTAACGCAAGGTACTACTTCTGGGTTTAGCGGAGTCCTGTAACCTGAAGCATCTGTAACCTGAAGCCGTCTGTAACCCGAGGTGCCGCTGTATTTGCATATTTTGAAAAAAAAACAACCACACACATATTGGCATAATCTGAAAAGAAAATAGATGTGACTCTGCATATTTTGCATTAGAAAATTCTTACCTAGGATGTATCCCACTGATCCATATCATTTTGGAGGGAGCTCTCTGCTGTTATGCTGGGCCCAGCTGCCTTAGATATAAGTTAAACCACCAAGCCTCTCATCTGCAGGTTGTTCCTGCTATCCAACACAAAACCTCTGCAAAAAAGAAAAAGAAAAGAAAAAAGTTAAGTCAGATCAGAATTTTGAACACTCAAATAATTTTTTCCTAAGACCAGTTTAGATGACTGCCTAAATAGTGGGTTAGATGACTGAGGATGAGCCATGCTTGTGTCCTGCGCCTTCTTCTCCTCTATGTGTGAGAGGAGAGAATGAACTTCTGCTTTCACTTTAGAAATCTATAGTTCTCTACTGCTTCTTTAGAAAGCTCCACATTACGTACAGTGTTGATTACGTACAGTGTTAGATTGAAAAGCTAGGAGCAATATGGCTTCTGGGACCTGGGTTGTGGGCACCAAAACAGAATATCTAGTCTTCATGGAGGGGCCTCCTGCTGCTGCCGCGCCGCCAGAGCACGATTTCTGTTCTCATCCTGAAGCAAAGTTCTTAACCCGAGGTACTATTTCTGGGTTAGCGGAGTCTGTAACCTGAAGCGTATGTAACCCGAGGTACCACTGTATGCAAGTCCAAGGCTCACTGCAGCTTGCTCCTGATCTCTCAAAATTACAGCTTCTATGAGATTCTCAACACTAAGGGCTCATCCACACTCTCGCTCATCCTGCTGCTTTCCCCCAGGAAAACCTGCTTTTTACTGCTGAATCGGAACAAACATCACTTGCTGTTTACAGGGCTTGAGATTTGCTCTAATTCAGCAGTAAAGAGCAGGTTTTCCTGGGGAAAGAGTGGGACAAATGGAAAACCACTCAGGCCCATGTTTTCTATGCATGGGACAAGCGAAGTGTGGACCAGCCCTAAGGCTAGCTTTCTCTATCTTAGTGGCTAAAGATGTTTTGGGCTACAACTACCATCATCATCAGCCACCATATTGTATGATCAGGAATGAGGGGAGATATGGCGTATAAGCAGTATTACAGTATTAGCAGAGGGATACTGTTTATAGCAGTATAAACAGTATTAGCACAGGGATACCAATATATATAGCATATAGAGATGGCTAATTGAAAAAGCAATCAATATGCAATGGCATAAAGTATTTTCTGGATAGGTATGGTGATTATGCAAGTTATATGACTAATTTCAAACGAAGTTTCAAACTAAAGTTATAATGTTAGAAGACAAGTTCAGTTTCCACAACCAACCTCGCTTCGGTTGAATGAAAATATAAATGAAGTCTATTACCATATGATAGAGAATAGATAAAAATAGAATATGGAGGAAGAAACACGTGATTAACCCGGGAAGTACTCCAGTCTAAAAACAGCTGCTAATTAGTAGCAACCCTAGACAGAGAGAAATGTCAGTGGACAGAGTACAGAGCAAGAATTGATAGACAAAAGTAGTTGACAAGCAGTACGGCACCTGCTCATATTATCTGTCTCACCTAACATTCCTTACGTTTATTTACAGTTGCTTTGTCCAAGTTATCAGCTAAGAAAAAGCTGAAGTTCTTTTTCAACAAAAGTAGTAAACAGAATTACATTAGCAACACATACTCTATCTTCGCTACAGTAAATTGCATAAGACTTGAAACAAATAAAGCCTAAGGTGGCCATCCTTTAGTTACTAGAAGCTACTGCAGTCACTTGACATGGCTTCAGGGGTCACATTCGCATTCCACCGGAATTCAGTTCCCTAGAGATATTCAACCCAAGTTACAGGTACATAAAAGTCTTCCAGATGGTGCAATTATTCTTGATGGGTATGTGGCAGAAGACAGGTGCCCCTAGGGGGGAAAGGGGAACTGGATGCAACCCAAGTAAAATTGGGCCTGCATGCACACACACATTTGTATCAAATTCTTTCTTAAAAGATTGGGGAAAACACAAGCAGAAGTGTAAATATAAATACAAAACTACCAAGATTAAGGTGCTGCCTGTTATAGTTTGTGCAGCTCGGTATTATTAAACACTGTGCCCTCAAGGTAAATAAAATTAGACGGGTACAACTACCCACAGCAAATACAGATCTACAGAAAAATGAAAAGACTGAGGGTTGGGGGGGAATGAAACAATTATTCTCCATGTTATCCATGTGACAAAACCTAGATTTAAATGCCTGACAGATTCACAGATTTAAATAGAGCTCTTCTTTAAAAATTCATGTTGATGTAGGGTGGGGGGAGTCTAGCTCTGAAACAAGTATACTATTATGGTATGCTGATATAAGACTCGCACCACCCACACAAGAAGTAACACTGGCTAATAGTTTACGTGCTGAAAGAATTACACCTCCTACTAACGTCCATCTGTTTAAAAAGAATAAAT